TGAAGTGCTGACTTGTTAATGGTTACAACAAATCAACCAGCTATTGATTTAGGTAATGGAAAAAAGGACTCTCTATTGTCTAAGTTTGACATTATGAACAGATACAAGGACACCTTAAGCCTTTGCATGCATATTTCATGAACACAACTGAGAATCCAAGGACCCCATCTGTGGAGGTTGAACTATGAATGTGGGCAAAATTCCTGCTTGTTCTGTTTTTACACATCATTCCCACCTCATTAGGGAACATTTAAATTTGATCAACAGAATGCAAAAGATCTCAATCCCTCAAAGGCAACCCCAGCTCTTCACCTCAGAGTTCATGTTTTAACCTTGAAAGGTGATTTTTAAATGAGGCTTTCTGGGATCACAGCTCACTCATAACAGGCCCACTCAATAAAGGCCCAACAGAGACATGTGTGCCAACAAGCTTTGGCCTTTCATTAAAAAGGTGTCAAAATCAAAATGTACTTCCTGTTCAGCATGCTAGTCAAAGGCAGGGTATGTGATTTGTAGCAGAAACATTTGTTGTTTTGCTGGTTGAAAGTCTCTTCACATCCTAATAGCAATCACTAAATTAAGTGGTCTAAATGTATTGTTGTGGATTCTAGTGGATCTCATGCTTTCAAAGCTATATTGCTATTGCTAGCCTCTCCGAAAATTGCCTACCCCACCTTTTAGTTTTCACATATCAGAGAAAAAAGGACACTGTGTGTACCTTGATCCACAGTACATATTGCATTAACCCCAGCATGAATACAGCACAGTGTGAGGATGGAAGAGAGAAAACTACATAAAATTGTTTTTCCAAATTCAATTAAGTCCACCGCCAACATGTCCTTTAAGTCCGTAATCCATATCAGAAACCCCACTGCTGGTGAAAAACACAGCACGAACACAATGATCCTTTACTTTGAGCAGGCTCTGTTGACTGTTGTCAGTCTCAGAAAGCACACTCACAGTCTCTTTCCTGGCCATCTGATACGTACAGTACTTCATCCAGAACAGCAAGTGCTGGCTAAAAATGCAGATTCAAACTGATTAGCTTGCTGCTAAATGGTTTCCACAAGAAATATTGTTTTTAACATTGATAATAATAAGAAATGTTTTTTGAGCTTTAAATCAGCATATCAGAATGATTTCTGAAAGACCATGTGACACTGAAGAAAAAGAGCTGCTGAAAATTTAGATTTTTTTTTTGCCATCACAGGAATAAATTACATTTTATAATATTTTCAAACAGAATATAGATATTTTAAATTGTCAATATTTCACAATATTACTGTTTTTACAGAATTTGTCATCAAATAATTGCAGCCTTGGCAAGACTTCTCATTAAAAAACATTGTACCAACCCTAAACCTTTAAACGATAGTGTATAATTTACTTTGTTTCCTGAGTTATTTCTAGGGGTGCAACAATATTTAAATTCTGTTTGAAATTGCTAAATTTTTCATGTTATGGTAAATAACTCATTTGTTTAAAAAGGAAAATGTTGAGATGTGGATGAGAATACTGCATTATTATTTCCATGAGCTTATTTCAAGCCAGTCTGTCATTGTGCTGTCATGATTTAGACTTAATAAATAAAAAATGCCAAGCAAAAAAATAAATAAAAATGTGATTGATTCGTCACTTTCATGTAATGGTTTCTACCTGCTTATAAGTGGCCATTCTTGGACAGCTGGGCTTACTGTTTGCTGCTACTCTGGATATTCTGTAAGACTAAACCTCAAATGTTCTTTTTGAGGTTTATATGGTTGAAACATCCACAGTTTCATAACCAAAGAGAAAAAAGAGGCCACAAACAGATCAAGCAAGAAATCATGTTTAAAATATTCTTCTTGTCTGAGTGACTGGAGAACACAAGTTCACATGAGGTAGAACATCAGACTATCTGCTGATGAGCCACACTGTTTAAGATGCTGTGCTGCTGTTGGGGCCGGATCAGAATCAGAGCTGAGCACGCAACAGGCGGAGAAGCAGATGTGCTACACCATGTGATATCCACTTTCACAGAAATAGTACCTGAAGATGCAGCCTCCATTTTTAATCTTATGTACAAAGAGTGTGGACATCTCAGATATGTGCCTGAGAGTTTATTCTGTTGAATCGCAATACCACGTCAAGTTACAGCTTATCCAGATTCAATCATCTTTACAACACAGGGTCTATAGACATTCATTCTGCTGCCTATGAATATATGAGGGGCAAGCATTATGCTGAATATGCCAGATATGAATTTGTAAATGTTAAGCAAACATTTCTGTGCCATGAGAGTTTCTGAAGAGCAGAGGGACTGACTGAGAGATATTATTAAGTTAATCATATAGAATAAGTTAATAATTGCATACACATGTGATAAATATACTATATTCTATATATACAAATTTTATATTTTATAACTAACATTTTATCTTTGATAATCAAGTTTTTTTTTTTTTTTATCTAAAATTATGTGGCAAAATCAGTCTAAATACGCTTTGTCTAATCAAGATGTATACCTTCTGCAGATCATTTGGTTTAAAAAGATATTTCCATCATTATCTTTTTATGTGGCTTTTGAAAAAACAGCAAAGCTCAAGACTATAGAGCATCAGAGCAATAGAGCAGGACATTGTCCTCAATTCAATAGCTTGGTGCGGGTATCTTTGTCTTGACACTATTTGCATATAGATTCCTAACGTACTGTAGATCCAGAGCAACATTTGTTTGCCGATATTCCACATCTTGCAAGAATTAAGTCTTGCCTACTTTTATTCCATTCAAAGAGAAAGCCCTTGCTACACTGGTGCTGGTTTATTTATTTGATTGAATTAAATCCATACTTAAATAGATTTTAGTACATCTAACAACTAATTAGAAAAGGAAAACTGCAGCAACAACAACAAACGCAGAACTACTGACATTCTGCACCGTGTGGCTACATTCTGATGTTCAGGCAAATGGAAAGCAACCCACAGACCCTCTAATTTTCCTTCATTATTTCAGCTAAGATGGTTTTGGGAATGGAAAAAGACACATATAAGAGCATGCAAGCCTTTTCCCCCTATGAAATACCGCTGACAGTGCAAGCAAGAGGCAGAAGCTCGACTGAGATGAGAGGAATATTACGGCATCAAACAGAATGGCTCAGAAAGCACCAAACACTCACCAGGAACTCAATCTCTCTATGAATGCATAGATTTAGGCTAGAAATCTTTAAAAAGGAGCTAACTTTAGTTCAACAGAATGAGTGTTTGTGACTGACTGCTACAATAATCTCCTTAGCACTTACACTGTAAAAATTGTAAAAAGATATTATACGCTGCTTCCTGATCTGAGCTGAAAAATATTTGACTCAAAAATAAAAATAAAAAGTCTGTCACAATTCACTCACCCTCATGTCATTCCAAACCCTGGAGCTTTTCCATCTTCATAAAGGATGCAAAAAAATAATAACTTTTTCTGAAGTCATAAGTTTTATGTATTTTATGTATACAATAGTTTTATGTTTTGTCATTATTCATTAAAATCTGACTGGTCAGGTTCTCAAGATCATCCAGCCACAGCAGTTCTAAAGTAAAAATATCACTGGAGATGAAGATTATCAGACTTATATTTCAGCCTGTTCCTCACACAAAGTAATCTGATAGTCTCTAGGAGATGTGGGATATGAGTCATAAAAACTATGGTGCTTATTTTGGAGCATGACAGTCCCAGACAGACCTGATTCAGTTTCAATATGAAAAAAAGCGACCAGAATATTTTTTCAGAAAAGAAAAAAACCTTTTGTATTCCACATAAAAAGTCAGATGTGTTCCGAAGGACGTGAGTCAGTAAATAATGGCAAACTATTCTGTAAAGCTGGCATGTAACGGAAATTACATTCTTCTTTATTGTGACGTAGGCCTATATCCGAATGAAACGACTGCTCCTTGAACAAGAAAAAATGTAGGCCAGGACTTTGTCGGATGGTTGTGGTTTTCCAGTATCCCTCCACCACCCTATCTACTCACTTCTAACTGTTCCTATCCTAACCTGGGATGGGGGAGTGCTCTGGGTTTAGGCCAAATTCCGAGATCGGAGGCCTCAGACAGCACACCAAATACGCATAACCTTTACTCTATTTAATTATATGGAAGTGTGAACTAGTGAATTATCAGAGAAGAGATGTGGTTGCAAGAGGGATGGGAAGTTAATTTAAAAGATAACGTGGCCACATGAATAAATTGATGTGCACATAACAATCATGTATAATAAATAGGCTACTGCAATATTCCAAAAAAACAAACAAAATAAGAATTTTGATTAGGCTATATTAATTTTTATAAATGTCATAATAAAGACAGTCCTTTTGAATAAAGAGTTCATTTAGTCTAAATTAAGATGGCAGTTAATTCTATACCACAGAAAGCATATTGTAGGTTGTGGTTGTCAGAGAAACACTACACCACTGAATCAACAAACGGCAAAAGCATCTGAAACTCAGTGTTTGAGCCGTGCGTTCAACCTAAGTCAAAATAAGACAATAATTACATTAAACCATCTACTGTGTAGCCTTAGGTGTGTGTATATACCATCATTACCCAAATTCATCTGCTATAGTCACGCTTTCATCGGCAATAATCCAGAAACATTGTACGCAGTCGAATTTAGTCTGTCTCTCAAAATCAAGCGAGTTTTTATACAGCATGGTCGGACGCATGCTGAATTCGCGGGCATCAAATGCGCGTGCAGCATGTTTGGTTTCCAAATCAGTTAAAGCACCAATATTAAAAACATTAAAAGAAAATACTGCCAAGAAACAGCTTATTATATTTTTTAAACATAACCATACGAACAAATATTTCACATTGCCTAGAGCAGATAGGCTACCAAACGGACGAATTTTTTCCCCATGTAGCCTACAGCTTATTACAGATAAAGCGTGAAACGAAGAATCGTCTTGCATAAGCTGTATTTCTCTGCATTTATTTTTCCATATCTCACAGCAAAGTATAAAAAGTATGTCGGCTTACCTTGTTCTGTCTTCTTTGATCTACTTCTCTAGTTTTCACCAATGTGAAGTCCAGTGATGCGGGCGCACTCGTTACAGTAACTACTACACTGTGCACTTAAAATAGACCATCTGTAGGCACACAAGCAACGGAAAGGTCCACTTATGCACTGCCACAGTATAACAGTGTAGCAGGAAGGTTCAGTGATGTACTGAATAATACAGAGCTCTCCTTTTCCTCTCACACAACTGTGTAGCCTACTCCTCAGATCGACGCAGAGGACTCTGAGACATCTACACATGTGACAGCACTGATCCGACCCACTGAGATTGTGCTGCTGTCAGAATATCCTTAAACAGAGAGCGACACTGGAGAATTCATATATATATATATATATATATATATATATATATATATATATATTAATATATATATATATATATATATATATATATATATATATATATATATATAGCCTATATATATATATATAGAGAGAGAGAGAGAGAGAGAGAGAGAGAGAGAGATAGAGATAGAGAGAGAGAGAGAGATAGAGAGAGATTCAAACATCTGAATATACTGTATGTATGTAGCCTATATATATATATATATATATATATATATATATATATATATATATATTAATATAGGCTCTATAAGCACTATTTACTGAATGGGCTAATTTTGAGTAACAATTTTTTTATGTTGCTACTTTTTTTTAGGTTTTATTGAAACATAAGTATTCCCAGCACACATACATTGCAGATACATCTATTTGATGAGATTGTTTTCATCTGGAAGACGTAGTTTTAGTGTTTGCTTATCTGCAATGCGTCTATGAGACATTTCCTGTCAGATGTTACCAAGACATTTAGAAAATGTCTTTAAGATTATGATTTAGAATGTATGAAAAACTGACTTTTTAAAGATATTTATCAGATGTTTGTGCAAGCGATCTTTATAAGACATCTTGGAGAAGTAAATGTGCTATCTGGGTTTTTAATTGTTACAAGAACTGAAGTTTTACTACAGTGGCCGGGTCTTTGAGGTTTAAGATACTTTGTGAAAAACATCACAAAGAATAAACTTACTCCATATAAAAATGGGACATATATTTGCAATACAAAGTGCTTTTGGCTCTGAATTTTACATTTCTGAATCTGTTTTGATTCTTTTTCTAGCCTGTCAAATGCAATCCATTTTTATCCATGTGTAAAACTGCATCCTTGATTGCTCTTTTCATTTTAAAATCCTAGGTATGTTATTATAAAATCTTCAGACCTATGCTCCAACCACATGACATTACCATTCCCGCTGACATTTCAAATGTCAAAGGGTTGCATTTCTTGCGGTTTTGAGGTGAGGTCTGACTTACCCACTAAACCATTAAATAACTCTGACATTTTGTTGAAAGAACAAGGGTAACAAAAAAAAAAGGTAAAAAGTAATTCTGGTGTAATTCTGCATGCTTATTAAGACTTCAGGTAAGGCTTGAGACATTAACATTTCCTTATGCTTTACTTTTCCAAGAAAATGGCATCATTCTTCGAAACGGCAGTAACTGTCTGTTTTTCTTTGTCTGTGTAAAAGGAGCAGCTGAATCTGTTTAATTTATACGTTTCTGGATTTTAAAGTTACATTTTTTTCATAAAGATAAAAGTCTTGACAATGGATTGAGAAAAAGTTCACAACAACCTCTCCCCTGGCTGGCTTAATGGGAAAGTGTCCATTGAATGTGCAGTTGCGCACTCCAGAATCTCGGCAGAAATACCAGGTCACCCGGATACTTTTTCACCTACTGTTTTTCGAATAGAATGAATTTACTACTCCTTTGACGTACTGTTTTTCACATAGGTCTACTATAGACTTTTACACTAATGTCTGCTATACCACTACTTGTAGCACGACTGAGAATGCAACACGCTCTTGCTTTAGATTATGAGTTGCGCTCCGCTGACAGACACATTTCGAAAATAAAATCAAGCTTTGTTTATGTTTTGGCCCTAATGGTAAAAAAAGGACAGTGTTTCTTCTAAGAATACTGGATGGATGGATGGATGGATGGATGGATGGATGGATGGATGGATATAAGAGCCACAAACAACAGCAACAATCCAATTATTAATGAATGAAAGCAAAAAGGCCTTAAAAGTACTGCTATCTAACAAAGCTTGACATTTTCAGCTTTTAGGCAGCATGATTGTTCTTTCTGTATTACTTTATTACGTTTTCATGGTATATGCTTATGGACTCTAATGTCCTTCAGATATCTTTTAAGCTGCTCATTTTCCTGCTGCCAGCCAGATCACATGTACGATATGACGACATGCATTCTTTATCATATATTTTTTCTATTTTTCTTTTCTGTTATTTGAGCTGATAAACAATGCATTATTTTCCCTGCGGCTCTCTCAACTGTCCATGCACATACGGCATACCACAAATGAAAATAATAGGATGGTTGTCTTTTTGAAATACATGACTCTATGCATAGACACAGGCTTCTGTCAGATATTGCACAGACCTTGCCCTGAGGTTTGAGATCACGCGGGTTACAGTGTGATGCTGGACTGAGGTGAGTGTGGGAGCTTTTCATAGTTTTGATGCTGTATTATGCTAAAATTATAGGTGCAACTATGATCATTATGTTATTGGTCAAATTGACCCTAATTAGATTCAATACAATTAATCAAAAATCACACTATGGAAGAAAAAAAAAATCAGGGAGAAACAGTGAACCTTTAACATTAATATTTCTCAAACATTACAACAAAGTAAGCATGAGAACATATGATTATTAAAACTCTATTTATATTTTGATACATTTTTATTTTTAATAATAAAAATATATATCATTTAAAATGTAGATTTAAAGATTTAATTGCTGTGTGTGCATATAGAGCATGTAAGCAATACCAAGATTGGTTTGATTCCCAGCTAAATTCATATGCATGAAAAAAAAAAAAAACTTAAAGCGTCTTCCAAATGCAAATATTCTCTTTTGTTATACAGGCTTTGAACGATATGAGTGTAAATAAATTAAGCATTTTAATAATTTTGTATAAGGATGTTTCACTGAAGTAAAATCTACTTGGCTCTGAAATATAACCAATCTGAAATAGAACCAATATAACAGTTGCACTCCACCCACAGCAGTAGCTGGGCTTTTACAGTGAAAGGCATTGATTCTTTCATGTGTTTATCTCAATGCGAATCCCTTCACATCAGCCCTGGCTGTCTCTCTGACGTCCACGACTCACATCAAAGATGGCCCTCAGGAGGACTTTTCACCCCAGAGAACAACCCACACTACTAACACACCAGCCCACCCCCAGTTCCTTCAGCACGGTCCTACAGCTCGATATTCGGAGAGAGAAAGTTAATCACACTTCTCATGCCCTAAACCGGTCTTATACATAGTCATTATCTTTGCCTTAATGAAATTCAGAGCGCCCTTCCTCGCTGAAGCTGCAGAGAAGCGGAGGAGTACCAGACAATAATGTCAAAGCTCTTTGTTGCATGGCAGGGACTGGAGGATGTGATACAAATTGCTCTCATAATTGTTGCCATCCAGAGAGTTAGAAAGTCACCTTGTTTTTCTTTTTTTAACAGAACCCTGCAATTATCATGCGGAAATAATAACAGGGCCGTCAGTGTCAAGACTTTCTTTCTGAACAAGTGCAATTGTGCGAGGACAACAAATCTGAATTTATTTGGCTCCTGATGCATGAATAAAGAACTGAGGGTTTTTTGTCTTTATTACAAGCTGTTCTGAACATTCCAAATCTCTAAACTTTAGACATCATTCATTCTCAACCCAGATCTCCTTGGGAGGAAGCAATCCGAGACAGGCTGACCTATTTTAATGTATATTTGATGGAAAAGGCACTTACACTATGAATTGTTGATGCTAGAAAAGAGAAATGTCACTATTAGCATCCACATTAGTCACTAAATACCTTATGTTTGTGATTTATATTTTACTGTTTTGTCTTGTTGACTCCATTTGAACCTTGTTAATTATTTTCATAAATTTTTTAAATATGCCTAGCTATATAGAGCTGAAAATATATATTAAGCAATCATAAACATAATCAAAATGAACTCAAGTGATACTTTATTCAGTGTTTCTCCACTTTCTCTTTGTGTCATTTCAGTTATTTATGCACAGTGCATCATTTGTAATTTTCCCCACCGCAATTTTTTGGGGATTTCTGCAATATTAAATATGCTGTTCAGCAGAGACTTTGTTATGGGGTGAAATCATAGAGAATAAATTCACACAGTGAATGACATAAACAGCTGGAGAGACAATGATTACGTAAACAAAAGCAAATTAGCATGAATTCCTTTAGCTGGAATTCAGAGTGGGAAGCACACGCTGTTCTTCCTCTATTTCATAAATATTGAAAACACCATGAAATTTTTATGCGCGCATACATGTCAAGTCACCTTTATTTATATAGCGCTTTTTACAATACAGATTGTATCAAAGCAGCTTCACAGTGATAACATGAAAATAATACAACAAAGTTTGTTTCTAGAAGAATATTGCGTCAACGTCCACCTTAAGTAAGGCAGATCAATAATATTGTTGAATATTAAATGTCCCCAACTAAGCAAGCCAAAAGCCAAGGCAACAGTGCCAAGGAACCAAAATGGTGACAGAATGGAGAAAAAAACCTTGGGAGAACCCAGACAGTCGGGGCCCAGTTCTCCTCTGGCCAACGAAGGAACAGTGTATGATTCGGGGAGCATTACAAGTCAGACTGGATCGGAACATTTAGAGTATTTATCCATTTCCATCTGTTTGGAAGTCGAAGTAATCACGCCGGTATGGAGACAAGTTGTTGAGGATCAGCACAAATATATCTCTGGAATCTGACATTGGTTTCCATATAAAGAACAACTGAAAAGGAATCCGATCAAGAGAATGTGCATCACCCATGTGCCCCACCAGCTCTCTGAAGATTCAACCGACTTCTCTTCATATGCAAATAAAGCTCTTAGAGTAAATTGAGCAAAGCATTTCCAGCAAAGATAGCTGATTATCTAAAAGTCATGGCTGCAGTGGTATTTTCATCTATCAGGCATCCTTTGTGCTCTATCAGAATAAATTACATTTATTTTCTTTCTTGATCTGTTTCAAGTGAGTCATTGTACCCATAACAAAGCTATTGTAATCACTGAGAATTTTATATTTGTATTTTAGTTTTGTATTCAAATTCTATTGGTACAAAACACTCTAATCTCCAGTCTAAAAACATTTAATATCCCTATTAAATAAT